CTCTCGAAGTGAGTGAAGGACCTGCAAATCCCATCATCAGTGGTCCATCCTCCCCCAAACCACATCAGGACATAAAGTAGCAAGATTGAACAGACAGACCATAAGCAGAGGCACAACACAATTGCTCAAATTATGCCTGCGACAAAGAATTGGTGGGATCACAAGCCTGTTACAAACCAAGTATGGATCGTTGATGTTGCAATCCTAGGCGACAGAAGATCGAACTGCAAAGACTCTGGCACAAGCCAGTCAGGGTGGTCCCAGTGGTGGTCGGCACAATAGGCGCAGTACTTCAAGACCTTGGCGGGATATCTGAAAGATTTAAAAAGCCAAAACATGGACATTCTTTACATTGTGACTATCAAAGGAAGAGCAAAAAGCAACTGTTGACAAACAAATATGCAATATATCCATCCGAAAAACTGTACCTGATACATTGTTGACAGCCACACATGGATTTTGAATAGATTTCAACTCCCTTCTTCCCTTGAGATTGTAGGAGAATTTTCATATTCGCTGTCGTTCCTTCTTTGTTCCGTTTCACACAATTGTTGTACTCTGCTCAAAATCGTGCATTTGCCGCTCTCTTGCAAATCAATGCCTTAGATATGTTTTCTCGCTTGCTTGCTAGGCATAATAATCAAGGAAGCACATTAATTACAGCATTGCAACTGCCAGGTTTTCTTAGTGTCGTGTTTACAATTGGCGTGCATGAGTTGATGTAAACGAATGTATGGAATGGAAAACATTCAGCCGAAAAATAGAGCACTGGGGATTTTTGGAATGTTTCCTCCCACTCCCGACATCTTGAGCTATAAGGAGATATAGGAACTAGCTCAATTTCACACTTGTGGCACTTGTGCTGCATGATACAATAGTCTCATTACCCGTTATGTCGTAGTTACGTAGCTCATTGAGCCAGTAATGAAAGGATAAGACCGGGTGGGGCACGAGCAAAAGTCCCATCATCCATGATCCATTCTCCATCAAACCGCACTAAGTTTTAGAGTTGGTAATGGGGGCTCTGTGTACCAAGTTTGGTCTTGATTCGTCATTGGTGGGGGTCGC